CACACACACACACACACACACACACACACACACACACACACACACACACACACACACTGAATGTTATTTGCTTCTTCATTAAAAAACAAAAGCAGAATAACAGCAATAAGCTGATTAAAAACGTAGTTTGATGTTTTGCCACGTTTTCATGTTATTTTATCTGGTCTGATTGTATCAACTAAAGTGTAAACACTGGGATTATTTAAATATAAAGTTGTCTTTTGTTTATGTTTGTATTTCTTAGTATTGAGTCTGTGTAAGATTATAAGAGCAGTGTCTATTAAGTCTATATAAGCGCAGACATGAAGATAATTTATTAAAACTGCTCCATGTACACATGCTTATGTGTGTTTATGCTTTCTGCTTCAGAGTTATTTTTACATATTTTCCACTTCATTAGTTCTGTTGATTGCTTTGCTCTAAAATTGCATGTTACAGTTCTAATACCATTACATGTGACGCATATTTAAACACGTGTCTTTTTTTCCACTGAATCACTTTTCGTTTTTTCCTTTGCCCTCCTCCTCTTCGACCTTCCCTGCTGTTCTCTCAGAGACTACAAGTCGCTCAATCCTCAGGATATTAAAGAAAACAACAAAAAGGTAAGAGGCAGCCACCGCTGGGCTCTTCTCACCACATATCCCCCCCTTACACATCTCTGTTTAGCCTTATTTAGAGACCTGCCATTAATCCCAGGATGAAGTCTGTATGTGTTCCTACAGGGTTTGAAGGGGGAAGGTAGAGATTCACAAGAACACAAACAAATGCATGTAATCACACGAACATCCATTCATGATAGAACATTAAAAAAGTATATAATAAATAATTACATCTGCTTCAATGTGTGGTTACGTGTAGACCCGTGTCCAAAGCATAACTTTGGCCAAATTCCACTTCACTCCTTCTTATTTCTTAGCTCTATGCCTAGGTTTTGCTTGTTTAAGCCAGGGGAGAGGGTGTTCTAATCCTTTTTGTGATGTAAAGTGAAAACTAATGGATTTCTAACCTTTAAAAACTGATTTTTTAGCAGCACTCTGTACAAATATTTTCACAAACTCAACAACAGCTATAGTGTTTAGTTTTGAAATAACGCATGCATCATATCAACTAGTGTATCAATTGGAAAAAGATAAGTAACTAATAAATAGCAATTAATTACTGTATTTTTTTCCTTATATAACAATTGTTTTGACTATTTAAAGTCTAGTTTTGTCTATTTCAATGTGTTATATTTGGTATGATTGTCATTCTTTCCTAACCAACCTAAAAATAACAGAATTTAAGTTTTGTAGCGGGTTTGATTGCTAGTTTACACATCATATATTGATGTTGTGTCTGTTTAAAAAACAGAAAATGGGAGCAGCTCATTGTGTTTTGTTGTTATGAAGAGTGACCTTTTATTGCAGTATATTTTAACTATAACTGTTTGCTGCCATGAGACAGCTCTATGGTTGGGTTTAGGAGTAGCATTACAAAATAGGATTCGGTCTTCTCCTGTTTGAGGTTAAGCAGCATCTTATTTCAACAGTTTTCTGAGTACTCAATAAATGTCCTCTGTTTCATGCTGCTATTCTTTGCATGTTTTGTTTTCAGTTGGTATGATAGCTACCACCCTGACCTGAGTATCACTGCATGTTTGATTTCTTTCCTCTTCTACATATTAAGGCCTACAGATGTAGACATTTTCTAAAACCTCAGCTAAATATTTTGTTCATCCATAAAAAAAAGTGTAGACACATTTATACTGTATATATTTTTTACCCCTTCTTAGTTCTGCATCATCAAATCTGCAGATTCACTGTTTAAAGATGCTTATTATTCACACAGCTCACCATTTTCTCTCTGGCTCTGTGTTTGCACATTTACTGTTGTGCTCACTTGCACGCTCCAGTTTTGTCCCCCTCACTACATACCTGTACAGGCACGGCACACCAACGTCCCCTTTTTGGCCCCAGAGGGCTACACAGAACGATATGCGTCAGGTTCCTGCAGCTTGATTTCCTCTTCTCATACACACTCCGGCTAAGCGATAACCTCTGGTGGCCCTGTTAGGCATGAATGCTACCCTGTTGACAATAACCACAGTGGAGGGAGAGGTAGAGACCCAATTCCATATCTGCTAACTGCCCTTACCCCCTCCAGGTGCTCAAGTAGCCCTGAAGAAATTGGTTAGATAGAAGTAAAATGGGGAATATGCCGTACGAGGTGATAGCTTGTGAATAGCTGCTGCGCTGCGGACAGCTTCTCTTGAGAGATCTACACCCGGTGCTGGGTGTTTGCAGCACACAACCACCATCCAGTTCTTCTGCAGCTCATATAAGAGTGTACTGTATTCACTGTATATAAATATTAGGGTTGGGCATAATCGTATCGTGTGCAATTAATCGTCAGAAAAACATTAATCGATTATTATTTGGCACTTGATGATTAATACGATTAATGCCACRAGGCAGAGTCCACTCAGTGATCCTCTCTGCTTCAAATATGATGAACATAAAAAAAAGTTCTGTAATTTATTTATCTATCAACACAATTTAAAATTTGATGTATAGCCTGAAGTCTGTTATTTTGATACAATTTTGAACAGATTTTTATGAAGAGCAAATATTTCCCACTAAACTGATCATGTGACTAGGACATAAGGGTGTCCAGGGACTCCAGGGGATTAATCGTCAAATTAATCGTTATCGGCTAAATACCACAATTAATCGTGATTAATTTTTTTGCCAATATTGCCCAACCCTAATATATACAGTTGTGGTCAAAAGTTTACATACACTTGGAAAGAAACATAATGTTATGGCTGTCTTGAGTTTTCAATAAGTTCTACAACTCTTATTTTTCTGTGATAGAGTGATCGGAACACATACATGTTTGTCACAAAAAACAGTCATAAAATTTGGTTCTTTCATAAATTTATTATGGGTCTGCTGAAAATGTCACCAAATCTGCTGGGTCAAAAATATACATACAGCAACAAAATTTGTCAATTTTGGTGATGTAGCGAGTTGTGTCAATCAAATTAGCTTCATGTCATGGCCTCTTCACTTCTTGTAAGTGATTCTGATTGACTACAGCTGTTGACTTCTCATGAGCCCATTTAAATAGGGCTCATTTGACCCAGTGATTAGAGTCAGCTACAAAAGCTACAATGGGAAAGTCAAAGGAACTCAGTGTGGATCTGAAAAAGCGAATTATTGACTTGAACAAGTCAGGGAAGTCACTTGGAGCCATTTCAAAGCAGCTACAGGTCCCAAGAGCAACTGTGCAGACAATTATACGCAAGTATAAAGTGCATGGAACAGTTGTGTCACTGCCACGATCAGGAAGAAAACGCAAGCTATCACATGCTGCCGAGAGGAGATTGGTCAGGATGGTCAAGAGTCAACCAAGAATCACCAAGAAGCAGGTCTGCAAGGATTTGGAAGCTGATGGAACACAGGTGTCAGTCTCCACAGTCAAGCGTGTTTTACATCGCCATGGACTGAGAGGCTGCCGTGCAAGAAAGAAGCCCTTGCTCCAGAAAAGGCACCTTAAGACTCGGCTGAAGTTTGCTGCTGATCACATGGACAAAGATAAAACCTTCTGGAGGAAAGTTCTCTGGTCAGACGAAACAAAAATTGAGCTGTTTGGCCACAACACCCAGCAATATGTTTGGAGGAGAAAAGGTGAGGCCTTTAATCCCAGGAACACCATGCCTACTGTCAAGCATGGTGGTGGTAGTATTATGCTCTGGGGATGTTTTGCTGCCAGTGGAACTGGTTCTTTGCAGAAAGTAAATGGGATAATGAAGAAGGAGGATTACCTCCAAATTCTGCAGGAAAACTTAAAACCATCAGCCCGAAGGTTGGGTCTTGGGCGCAGTTGGGTGTTCCAACAAGACAATGACCCAAAACACACATCAAAAGTGGTAAAGGAATGGCTAAACCAGGCTAGAATTAAGGTTTTAGAATGGCCTTCCCAAAGTCCTGACTTAAACCCCATTGAGAACATGTGGACAGTGCTAAAGAAACAGGTTCATGCAAGAAAACCATCACATTTAGCTGAACTGCAGCAATTCTGTCAAGAAGAGTGGTCAAACATTCGACCTGAAGCTTGCCAGGAGCTTGTGGATGTCTACCAAAAGCGCCTAGTTGCCGTGAAAATGGCCAAGGGACATGTAACCAAATACTAATGTTGCTGTATGTATATTTTTGACCCAGCAGATTTGGTGACATTTTCAGCAGACCCATAATAAATTTATGAAAGAACCAAATTTTATGACTGTTTTTTGTGACAAACATGTATGTGTTCCGATCACTCTATCACAGAAAAAAAAGAGTTGTAGAACTTATTGAAAACTCAAGACAGCCATAAAATTATGTTTCTTTACAAGTGTATGTAAACTTTTGACCACAACTGTATACATGAATGTACTTGACTATATGCCATACAAGGTATTGTAAACATTTTGTAAACATAAGACTAGTTTGTATTTAATTTTACTGAGAAGAATAGATTAAGCCTACTTTTTAAAAATCTAGACAATTTCTAAACACTTGAAAAGTTTCTAGAAAGTTGTTGTCAGAGTTGACATTAAATTAAAAAGAAATGAACCAGACACAGACATAAGCATTCAGTTTAAAACGGTTTTCTCTTTGCAAAGAGTGAGAAGTTTCTGAGGACGCTTAAAGACAGGTCTCAGCAGAAAGTTCTGACCTTGGCTGAGGAAAGCTGTACTATTTATTACAAACAGAGCACAGAGAAAAACATCTTGACCAATCACAGGGTTACTTCTTATCAGTTAGTGCAGCTCAAAGCTGCACAGATGAAAATTATGGCAGCAAGAAAGGCATATTTAACACAGTTGATTAATGCAATAGGATCAAAAATAAAAAAAATGATAAAGTTTAAAAATATCTATCAGTTGTCATACCTTAAATCATCAAATCAAAGTGTTTGGATTTTATATTTTTTGTGGGAAAACTTTTACACACAAATAGGTTTAATGCAGTAAAAAGTGACATTTATCTTATTTTTACTTAAGGTACAAAAAGTAAACAAACCTAATTTATATATTTTATTATTAACAACTAATGAATTATTTTCACATGTTAAGAAAAACAGATCTTTACTTGTTTTTACAGATTTATCCACAAAGTAAGTCTTATTTCTTCACTACAACTGATGTGTGCCACTTTGTCCTGGTTATTGTTGTAACACAGCATGAAATTCAGAACTTAAACTGATTTACATAATTGTAATACAATGTATGATGCTTTAATACTTTACAGGGTTTGTTCTAAGTCTCGAGTCGCGCCACAAAGCTGCAAATCAACTGTATTTAGTGAGAAAAAAAGATGAGTTATGTAGTGCTTAATAGTTCCTTCAAGAAAAGAACACACTCATCCCTGGCACAGTTTAGGAAAGCTTAGTGTGGCCGGTTAAGGAAACTTAAACGCAAGCAAGAAAAAGGCTGAAATAGAACACGAGAAAGAGGATTAAAGAAGAAAAAAATAAATGTTTAAGAGAAAATCAGAATGTGTAAAGAGCCGAATGAAGGAGGGATGATGAAAAGAGACTTAATCCTAATCTAAATGTTGTACAGATCATAAAGCCTTGTTGGAATGTATAGAATTTATTGGACGGACAGCAGGAATGGAAACGTATAGAAAAGACGACTATCTCTGCTTTTCATTGCCCCCTCCTCCCCTCATGGTCTATCTGTGAAGAATGATTGCAGTCAGCTCAGACTGTGCTGAATTATGACAGATAAGGACAATCAATATTGAGGGTGTGTCAAAAAATACACAAAGGTGAATATTTAGATAATTTACAGCCTTTTAAAGTTGCTCCTTAATAAAAAGTTACTCCTACCAAGTCTGTGGACGATTACTGATGCTTGTGTCTAAGATTTTGGGAGCTCTGGTATGTTTCAGCCTCTTGCTTCTCTGTCTGTTTTGTAGGCTTGCTGTTATGTGTGTGTGTAATGAGGCCAAGGAGAAGTAATTTGTCATGCCATCTGATAGTGTTGCTCCAAGCAGCGGTCTGAATCGCCCCGAGCACAACCATGAGGGGTTGGGCTGAAGGGAGGAGGTTCAGATGATTGACAGCAGTAGATGGCTGTCAGTCACTGAGAGGGAGGGGGGATGGGGGGCCAGGGAGCATCAGCCTGGGGCAAGTGACGACGACATTTAGTCCAAAACTAAATCAAGTAGACTGAAAGTGAATAAACTGTCATCCAAAATACCGGTACTTGAAATTCTTAGTACTTAAAATTCACCATGTCTATGAAACACAGAATAGTTATGCAACATTATGTAAAAATTACCCATTGTTTTTACATATGGGAAGAAAATCTTAAATAAAATAGTCTGTCTATTGGTGCCATTTTCGTTTTAGAACAGTTAATGCAAAGATGAACACGTTGCAATTTTATTAGCTTAAATTTTGATTTCCTGTTCTACGTTTGCTCCATCTGTTTATCCTTTAAAAGTCAAGATGCTATTTCTTTCACCTAAAAAAGAAATTCAWCTTGTCAGATGGGAAAAAATTTAGAATGAATGCATCCCAGTCATATTTTTCATTTCTTTTCTTGATTTGTGCCAGTAGTTTTCACAGGCTGTTGTATAGACAAATGGAGTTGGCAAAAATACAAAATAAGATTAGCTATGCTGTAAAGAATTCCTTTTCTCATACAGCATAGCTGGAGTGTAAGTGTCAGATTAATCTCCAGCTCTGGAACTTTAATATTAAGAGAAGTAAGAGCATTGTTTTTAAGGGGTTTTTGTTTATTCGGTTAATCTTGAATAAACATTAACTCAACAGCTGCTGTTGTGTTGCAGAAATTGTTAGGACTCTATATAATGCAGAAATAAAAATTTAAATGGCACAAAAAGGTACAATTTCACGTAAAGATAAATAAACTCAAAGAAATGATCAGAAATTCAGCATTGAAAAATGGGATTTAATCTATATTTAAACTCCTAAATTATAAACAATACATTTTATCTGCACTGAATTAATTAATTCAGCAGCAGTTTTCATTGCAGAGTTCTTGATTTGTGTGCATTGTATGAGCTTCTAAAACAATAGTTCAGATTTTTGAGATGGCTGTTAAAAGGTTAGAAACAATAAATATCTCACCTGTTGTAAATACCTTTCGCTGGCCTGAATTTGGAGAAATAGTTAATCATCACTGGTTTGATGAACTTACGGCTAGTCAGAGCAGGGTCAAAGCTAAAGTGGACTACTGCCGTCTTAAAATGGTTTTTATCATGTAGAATTAATATAAATGCTAAGAAAATAGCATTTGCATGGACTGCCATAAAATCTTTTCAGATTATATATTTAAGGATGGCAGAAGTCCACTCTTTCAGACTATCTATTGTGCATCATTCCCATCAGAATCAAATTTCTCTAAATGAAAGCTGTTCGAAGAACTGTTTTTTTTTACAACTTCAAATGGTCAGACCTATATCTTTAAATTAGTGATGCACAATATATCTGCATTAACATCTGTATTGGCCAATATTGGTCATTTTTTTAGAATATTGGTATCGGTTCGATAAGTAAAACCAGACCGATATTATTGTCCGATACTGATTTCCCACTTTTTAGCTTTGTGTTTCTGTTATGGGAGGAGATGGATGGTCGAGTGGTATCTGTTTGATCATGATAGTAACCCAGCGCAGCCAGGAATAACTGAAGTAGAGAGCCATGTCAGCGGTCTGGTCATTTTTTTATGGTATTAAGAAAAGACACGTGTATTTCTGCGTAAATGTAAATAAATAATTTGTGTGTTTGTGAAATATCAGTTATCGGTCATAACACCAATAATAATATCGGATATCAATATCGGCTGAAATTAGCATATCGGTGCATCCCTACTTTAAATAAAAGCAACAACCTTTGTAGCAGCTTATTAAACTTAATGTTTAAAGAGGATTTAAGGATCAAAACACGATTCCTCTGTGTTATTTTGAGCAGTCTACCATTGATTTAGTTGTGAGCCTTGGGTCATTGTCTTGTTACATTGATCAATCTGTCTCAGGGCTCAGATCATGAACCTTCTTTGACATAATGGTGTAAAATTTCAAACATGTTGGTTCAATTTTGAAATTTTTTTCTTCAGGTCTCTTAAGTAGAAATGCAGACCTGAATTTTGATGCTCTTTCTATTAAATACAAAGCACTTTTGTCATTGTGTTGCTTTTTTCTAAAAGATTGACTTTATTCCTACACAACTAGTAATACTATTGGCCAACAAACCATAGAACCATAATAACAATGTGTGCAGTTGGTTGCTGCTAAGTAGTTAGTAAACATTAGTAAACCTTTAAATATAATTATGCAAAGAGAAGGATTGATTAAAAAAAGTAGACTCCTCCTCAAGATGGAGAATGGTAAGAAAATAGTTAAGAGGTTAAGAAGGCTCCCCAAAAATCTTACCAGGGGTAAAAAGMACGAGGAGGGTCTGGGTTTCAGAGAACAAATGTCTGAGGGAAAGACTGAGGGAAATTGATAGACTCAGGAGATCTACAGAGGCAGTGAAACAAATGTGCGACGCAACAAGTTGGAATTAGATCAACACTATCAAGCAGGCCAGATACAAGCTGCGATACCTGGGAGAGATGGATGAGGAGGTTGTGTGTGCGCAGGAATGGCGTTTGTGTGTGCGCACGCCTTTAATCTATTTATTTACCTGTCATTGGCAGCGATAATGGTTTTCATCCCGTCTCTCTCTGTCTTAGTCTATTTTGTGATGGGGGATTGGTTTTCGTATGTCGCTTGATAATCACACCTGTATTTTCTCATCAGACTCTAATCAGACCAATTACACGCGTGATGGAGAGCGTGGGCGCGTTGATGTAGCGGCGCGATAAAAGCACACACTCGCGCACTTTGGGATTAGGCGYTCTGTCTTGGGATATCTGCGTTTCTTATCGGGGACAACCAACCCTGACATGACCTGTCAGCAGTCATGCTAAAGGTGTCTCTCACACCCAAACACACATGAACACATACGGTTTAGATTATGCATGAAACACAACAAATACAACTTAGATCTGAAAAAAGAGACCAGACTTGTTCCATCTATTTGACTTTTTAACTTTTTCATCCCTCTCAAGCCTACATTTAGAGATATTCRCAATAACATTTTGCCTCTGGTGTATAAACCTTTAATTGAAAGCCTGTTTACTCCTGCGTCTGTTTTTGCAGGCATATGATGGCTTTGCAAGTCTGGGAATCTCTCGTCTCCTGGAACCATCTGATATGGTGCTGCTGGCCATTCCCGACAAGCTGACGGTGATGACCTACTTGTACCAGATCCGGGCTCATTTTTCCGGTCAGGAGCTCAACGTGGTGCAGATAGAGGCTAACAGCAGTCGCAGCACTTATAAAGTGGGGGACTTTGAGACTGATACAAATGCATCCATTGGCCAGGACAAGTTCTACGCTGAGCTGAACGATGTGCAGCACCGCCCGGCTGACTCTCAGCCCGCTTCATCTGCTGGGATTCCCACTGAATCCAATGGGGCAGATGTTGCTGAGGGGGAGATGACGGAGTCCCAAGTTGGAGTAGATTTGACCGGCTCATCAGCACCGGGTCCTTTGCAGTCCTCACCTCCTGTCCCGTCGCCGCGCACAGTATTAACTACCACAGCTGCAAACTCGACCCACATGGCACCACCAGGCTCCGAGGACAGAGGGAGCCTACTCAAAGCCAACACTTTGGATCTTAGTGAGTTACCACACAGAGAGGAGAAAGAGGTGGAGAAGGAAACTCTACACAACGAGGAGGTGGGAGAGGATAGAAAGGAAGGAAGTAATGAACCGTCGTCCCCAACAAGGAGAGAAAACACATCACCTCACCAGAAACTGGGCTTCTCCTATAACAGGGACGCTGACCTCATTAAAAAGAAAAGGGCCAGCCTGCGTCACACAGAGTCTGAGCCGGCCTCAAACACCAGATCTACTTCAGTAAATCACACAGATATCCCTGTTAAACAGGTAAATACACACTAAGTCCCACATTTTAGTTTCTTTTTTGAAAATACACGCCACACACAGACCTGCTGTTAAGGTGATGATACCGTCTACTGGTTCGTAAGATATTTTACTAACAAATAACACATGCACACATGGTCATAGGCAATTACACTATCTTCAWCTTTCATGACAGCGGGTGATAAATTGAACTCTTGTATCAGAAAAGACCCTGAGAACCAACCTACATGTTGTAAACTAATTTCTGCTGTTTAAGTCAGGTATTAAGATTCTGGCAGCGTTTACCTTCAGGTATCTGTCTGGCCCCTGTRTGGATTGTTCATGTTTTTATCCTTTCACCCAAGCTTTGATTGAAACTTTCTCAGATGTCAGTCATAAGACAGAGGATGCCTAGAACAGTCATTCCCTCCTGGCACTCGCTAAGCTTCAAATCCCAACCTTGTTGATACAAATGCAGAGATGACCGTAGTGAAATTCTCTCGTTCTGCATTAGATGTTGTCGTCACTTGTCTGGCTGCCTAGAACCAGACACATCCAGGCCCTGAACATGTGGCGACTACTGAAGGCGCCTAACAGAACCCCCTGCTTTGACATTTCATTATATTTTTCATTATATTTCTCATCCTCGCAGTTGATGACAGTTGGTGCCGTGGCTGCTCAGGCGTGGCGATGCTTTGCGCCGAGCCGACATCATCTCGTCTCGCACACCAACATACACCTGTATGCACGCCTGCGCTCACTCATGCACACAAACGCGCTCGGTGCAGTTGGTGAACCCCAGATTACCGCTTCTTGTTTACAAGTTGAAAGGTCACGGTGTAGGCAGACGTGGGTGATGACAGCCATGTCACCTATTTTCTGGTTTGCTGTTATTTAGTTAATTGGATGCGTCCTTGCCCGAATCCAAATCAGATTGAAATTGTTGAAAAGATTAATTTGAGAACTTGGTTTGCTCTGTTTGTGCCTGCCTAACACTGGTTCTGTTTGTTGTGCTTTTAAAAGCTTTTATTGTCTTTCTCATAATGCTTAAGTTCAAATCAGGATGTATTTTACACTTGTTTTAATCCTTTCTACATCTTCTTGTTGACTAAAACCGAAACTCTGACAACTGTTTGCCTTTTAGTTCCCAACAATAAGTAGAGATAAAAAAATACCCTAACAATTTGACTTCATATAAAGTGAAACACCAATAGTAATGAAATGTTTGTCTTTTCACAGGATTCATCACCTGCTCCTGTTTATAGTCCTCTGGCTGAAAAGGTGAACAAACTGCAAAAAGTGAAAATAAACACATCAGAAAATATTGATGGAAATGTTTCACTGAGCAAAGTTTTTATAGCTTTGTCAATATTTCATTAGTGAAGCAAAAGCTACACAGTTTTTATTTTCTGTTGGAAGGTGTGATCACACTTTGTTCTTGCTCGTAGAAAGTTCTTTCTCGTCAGGAGGCGTTGAAGGAGAGAGCCCGGCTCCTCCTGGAGCAGGCCCGCAGAGATGCTGCCATGAAAGCCGGTAACAAGAATGTCCCTAACTCATCTGTAACTGCCCCAAACAGGACTTCAAACACCTGTGATGTAAGTCTGCTAGGTGTTTGGTAATCTTGTCTGTATGTAACATTTTAGCCCATTTTTTTGTGGTTAAATCAACAATTAGTTTGGCTCAAGAATATTTTTTTCTTTTTAAGGCATATTTGTGGGAACCAAAACAAGAGCTGGTCAAATTATTCGATGCTTAAAAGCTTTACTAAATCTCTAGTTGTCTTTTTTTGTTTATCAAAGAAAACATTTTCTTGTCCATATTAGTCGAGATATTCTGTACTTTAAGACAAATTTCTCCTAACTACAGTCAGCTGTCACGTTATGGCAGACAGGTAGGCATTTGTCTAGCTCCCTGAGACGGAGGGGGTCCTTGAGTAACAGTACTGAAGTGGCCAAATGTAACAACCGAAACACTGAGGGCACCCTTTTTACCCCCTTAAGGTGCCCTGTGACAGTAACATAGACTGTACAAACTGTAGCAGCCTCATTTCATCCATTTATTGAACTTTAGCACAAGAAATAGGCTATTTTAATGGGGCAGGTGACCAAATATTTATAATAAACAATATGGCACAAATATATTATCAAACTTTTTTAAATGGGACATTTAGCCTTGTTGTTGAAACATGGATGAAATAACAATACTGAGTTTTTTTTTTTTTTTTTTGATTAGAACTTTTGGAGAAAAAAGGGCAATGTATTGCTTACAGTAATGCAATATACAGTATCATGATATTGTATTGTGACCCCTGTGTCTTGATTTGTATCATATCACCAAATTATATACACAGCCCTGTTGTCCAGGACATTTAGTGAATAACATCCTAACTTGAACATTTGTCAAAAAAATAAAAATAAATTGCTGAGTTGTGACCCTCTTGTTCAAATGCAAACACAAATTTTGGTCAGAAAAACTGAGATTTTAACGTGCTATTTTAAAGTACATAACACTTTCTCTTGGGTCTGTTTGTACAGAGATTTTGTCACTGCAGCCTGATTTAATGTGTCCACCGTTTGTTGCGTAYTGTGCAATCTTTGCAAACCACAATAACAATGGAGCTGTTCATAGTTTTTTCCTGTCTTGCAAGACTTCTCCTGATGCTGTCAACATAAAATCTAAATCTTGCGYTGAAAGAGGTATTTAATGAGTTGAAGTGATAAACTGTATCAACAGAAATAAACTATAGTTTTTTGAAGTAAATGATTAGTCTTAGGTTTTTTTTTTCTTTGTATTTAGATGGTATTATTGTCAGTGTTATGGCCACTTACAGATTTGGGAATAAGATATCTGCAGACAAAATATTACAGGGGTTGAGAACTTGAGAGCTGAGAAAGACCTTCATGTCAGACTAGGCTCTTCAAGTGTTTTGGGTTGTTGGATCAGTACAATCGATTTCTTTCTAATAAATTAATTCTGGACTATTTTTTCTGAAACCTAGTGTAGTTCTTTTTTCCCTTCCGATTAAAAAAAAACTTATTGTAAGTCCACTAGCCTCTTCAACACTTTGGTGTATCTGCCACAGTTCTCTATTTGTTGCTCGATACACTTCCAGCGTTCTTGAAAAGCCTGTCTTGAACACTTTATGAGTGAGCTCTTTCCCCTTCCTCACTGATGAGATTCTCTCATGGGYTGCTGAATGTCACAACCTGAACATGTCAGTAAGGATACCTCCAGTGTGGATGGACTTCTTGGTGCTCTTCTCTCACTTTAAACTCTACTCTTTCTCTTCAGGTTCTCTCTTTGCCTGTCTTGACTCGGCACAATTTATGTGACATCGCTTACTAAATTTTCTGCCTGCCTTCACTTCCTCTAGTGCACTGAGTAAATGTTGTACGCAGACAGCTGTCAGCAGAAGAACATTCGTGGTAAATGGGGGTTAAGAATCGTTGTACTGAAGCTAACTAGACTAGAAACGGCGCGAGTGAAATTGCCAGCTCTGAACTGAGCGTGCTTCACTGAACATAATACACTGAGAGGAAGGGGCACACTGATGAACCAGAAGTTACCCTGGGAAAGCACCGTGGTCAAATCTTCCAACACATTTTCAAATATTTCGGAAAAAGTAAAAAGACTGTAAAAAAAAGGAAGAAGAAAAAACCTTCAGTCTTGGGAGAATTGTGACAAGGGAGTTGAGGGTAGAATGAAATAAATACCTTTTAGTAATAAAATATCTAAAAGGCAGCAGCTGCATGGCCCTGCATTTGCTGCCTGAATCCTTAAAGAGGAAATATAACCTTGAATTAGATGTTTTTTAGAAGTGTATATGTTAGTGTGTGTGTGTTTGTTTCTTGTGGCAGCCACAGGAATAACCATTTCTGAATAATCTGGGGAAATAAATGCAGACCTTCCAAGGACTGAAGGCGTTAAAAGTCTTAAGAGGAAGAGAGAGAGAGAGAAATTAAAAGAAGTTTTCAAAGCTGTTGCGCCGCCGATATATTTCCTTAGCGACGAAAAGAAAGGTCCTCCTCTGTCCCTTGTTGTGCGCCAAGATGGCTGACTTAAGTCAGATTAGCTCCTTAAAGTAGCCAGACCCACCCTTTCAGCCCCTCTCTTCCTGATTTCCTGACTCATTTCCAAGGACAATTGGTTAATATCTCACACACACACACACACACACACACACACACACACACACACACACACACACACACACACACAC